CTCTCCCCAGTACTGTTAGTTCTTAGAGGGTTGAGCCTCCCATTGGTTTTCCTGACCTGTGCTCTCTTCTGCTTTCAGAAAGGTTAACTTTCTGACCATATTCACTCCCCATATCGCTCTGTCTATACTTCTAGCATAGAGTAGTCACTTTATTCCCTAATTGCCTGTCTGTGGAGCTTTCCCTTCAGTAGACTGAAGATCCTGTGGTAAAAGGACCTTGTTTTCTCATCTGTGCTTCTATGTATCTATCAGGATGGTTGGCCCATAGGGGCTGTTACCTGTCTTAATGAGGAAACACGGTGAAATTATGCTCATACCCAGAATCTACAGGGACTAGTCACTGCTAGTCAGACCCAGCCCCTAATCTTAAACTGAGCTTCATTTTTATCAATACTAATTATTACTCATATACTTAAAACCACTCAAAACATGAATAATTTGTAATCCCTACCCACAGCCTCTAAACCCAAGTATCCATTCCTGTCACCTAACCTCCGCTTCCTCCAGGCCACTCCTCATCGGCCCATCACACGCCATGCAGATTTTCTTTATTGCCTCATCATGAAGGCAGCCACCCTTGCCAGGACTCTGCTGCTTCCTGTCACTCGAAAACTTGCTCATCTGAGGTTCCAACTTTCATAGCACACATCACCCACCTTCCTCTGATAGTTGTGTTCTCCAGTATAATTGTTTTCAGGTGTTTAACCGTTGGTTCTTCCACATAATTTGTAGTTCTTTACAATAAGTATGGCTTTTTAATATTAGAAATACTTACAGTGCATGTGCAATCAATCTCACTAAGCATGCAAATATTACAGAAATCGAATTTTAAAATGGCATTCGTGTTCATTTATTTGGCAAGCATTAAAACTCCACCGTGTGTCCAGTACTGTGTTAGGACTGGGAATTCACAGATGGGGGGAAAAAAACCAACTTTAACAGCAGAACAGAAATGGGTCCCTTTTCTGTCTCTAAGGTACCCAACACATGCCTCTAATATCTCCTGTTACATTTTGATGCCCTGTTAGTGCCACATGGACCCCTCTGGCTTAGCACCTCTAGGACAGGGAGTGGGTTTAGAATCTCAGGGTTTGGCACATACTAGATTCTTGGGGAATGTTGGGAATGAACCATTGAGCTGGACTACAGTGTGATTTGAAAAATGTTATATTAGAGCCTGTACAAGGTACTGTGGGAGGATAGGAGAGAGGGTACTTAGCCTATTTTTCTGTTTCTTGGCCGAGGCAAGCCCTTCTTGCCAAATGACAGCCTTGTCAGACTGCATTTGGATGCAGTTTCACTTGGACAGTAATTTTACTTAAACCAATATTGGCAGTCCTCATTTGGTCGGTTACATTTTTAAGGAGGCACTGTAATGTAGAAGCATGTAAGTTGGCTAAACTAGGGTCTTTTATTTGAGCAAGGACTTAAAGCCCATATTTTTATAGAAAAGGCCTATGTTTAGTAAATTTTAATATACCTATTATATAGTGTCAGTTTTCTAAGGTTCAGCAGTCTATTGTATGATCCTACTGGTGTTCTAATGGTGAGTAACTCATTTATTTATAAGATTTACATAGAGGTTTTCTAAAGTGCATGGAAGAAACTGTTAACACAGTGGCTGTTTCTTGAGAGCAGGCCTGATGTGCCATTCAGGTGAGAAAAAGGATTTGTATTTTTTCCTGTAAACCTTCTGTACGGCTTTGAGTTTTTACTTATAATGAGAATGTTTTACTTTTATATAAAAATGAGTTAATAGAGTTGATATGAATCCCAGTTATGTGATAAAATGCTGAAGTAGTGTTTGGAAAATGGCTAAAGGCTGGGGGAGGAAGTGTAGAACGATGAAACTTCACAAGTGTTTTTGTCCCTACACACACACACACACACAGAGCAGAAGAGTTACCTCCTGGATAAATGGCTGAACAGAGCAGGGCGTTGTGGTTGGATTGGGAGCTGCTGGGGAAATGTCAAAGGCTGTGAAGCACATCAAGTAGGCGACTTCCTGGATTAGGTGGTTTGTGGAGCTGCTTGCTTTAAAAAGTGTTGGATTTGTAGATGTTTGGGAGCAGATGAGCTCTGTCAGTGCAGGCTGCTGAATGCATGGGCTGCCTGCATTGGTTTTATGTAGTGGCAAAGAACAAATGAGGCCAGGAAGGCCAGCACAGCTTCAGGCGCTAGGACTTGGCACTGATCAAAGCTTTTAAAAGAAATGCTTTATTACAGAGACAATATTTTATTTAGTTTTTTCCCTTACAATTTGAGTGAAGTAAAAGCACCACTATTGAACGTGTGAAAACAAAGGATACTAGAAAGAGATGACTAATGAAGGTATATTTTGAAGATTATAGTAGGTTCAACATTATTAAATCAGGAGTATAATTCATGCACCAAAATCTGAAAATGTTTCAGATGTGATAGATGCCTTTATTCTTGCCTGTTAAAAAGAACTTAATTTTACAATGTTAATGGAGTGGCGCTTTTTTGAATAAACTTAAGTAGGTCACAAATATATATTGTAATAAACTTTTCTATGATACTTTAATTACATAAACATAAAGGATATAATTCAGAAAAATAACTCTAACATATTTCAAAATTCTACCATCCCCTCCCCAGATTAACTTCTCTAAGCTACTTCATACACATGAACACTTGCATGCATAGTTTTATTGTGTCATACTATATATATCTTGCAACCCTGCAACTTGCCGTTTTTTTTCCCTTTTTGAGGCAGGGTCTCACTTTGTTGACTAAGCTGGAGTGCAGTGGCACAAACAGAGCTCACTGCAGCCATGACCTCCCGGGCTCAAGTGATCCTCCTGCTTCAGACCCCTCCAGGTAGCTGAGACAACAGGCACACACTACCATGCCCAACTAAATTTTGTAGAGATGGGGTTTCACCATGTTGCCTAGGCTGAACTTGAACTCCTGAGCTCAAGTGATCCATCCACCTTGGCCTTCCAAAGTGTTGGGATTACAGATGTGAGCCACCATGCCCAGCCAACTTGTCTTTTTTTTTTTTTTGTTAACTTAATTATGGGTTTTCCAGGTCATTACTTATAATTCATCTCGTACTTTTAAATTTGAACATATCATATTTGTATTCTACTTAAATTTGAGAACAAATAATTAAGCTTTCATCTAGCAGGATTTAAACTTGAAGAAGTTAAAAAACACTTTACAGAGAATGACAGGTATTTCAGCAGTTCCATATTCTATGAACTGGTATTAGGAGCATGGAATGAAATGAGGAAAGGGAGCTACAAGTAACAATAAAGATCAGCAAAGGACCTGGTAAAATTAATTCCAAATGCTTGTTGCTGTAACTTTTTGACCAAAAAGCTTATTGGTATGGGTATATTTTAAAGAGAAATCAGGCCTTGTAGATGATAGCTGATTTATGAAGTGTATAGTCCTTTTTTTTTCTCTTTAAGTATAAATGCTTTTTTTCTTCCTCACCCGTTAGTTCTGTTTTATGCTTTTAAACGTTAATCACTATTTCTTGGAAAGTAACTCTACAGCAGGAAGGGCTGCTTGTTTTTTTAAAAATATAGCAAGAAAACTAACAATTTGTGGACATAATGGTCATGTATTTTGACCATGATTAAGAGGTTATTGACCAGTTATGGACCATGGTTTTATTAAAATATAGGTTACAGAAGTTAACACTACAAATGAACCTTTTATGGGGTGATAAACTGTTCTTCCGTGCTCACCATTTCCCTCCCCACCAAAGGAGCAATAGAGTAGATTTGTATGTGGACTTTAACCCACACATATTTGGTGTTTAGTTTATAAATTTGGTAACATTTTAGAAGTTGCATTAGCTGCTTCATAGTGGTCATTTAATACAAAAAGCCTGTTTAGAATCAAAATTGAAAGGCGAAGAGTTGGCATTTTTAATAAGTCTAGACACAGTCATTTCTTATGTGATCTATTTTATGAAATTTATTTTTAGCTTTAAATTTAGCCTTTAAATCACTAAAATCTTCAGTGATTTCATATTTTGGCTACATTTTTTACCCCTTTATCTCTTTGCTTATAGAACTTTATGCTTAAAAGATTTTCTGAATCCTTAAAGCACATAGTATAGTTCTGGAGGCTTGTTAAATGAATACATGTGATGTCACAGAGTTTTTGTAGCACTTTATGTGCCGTCATTTGCATCAGTTAAAACTGTTACAAGTAATAAGGTACATACAGTCTGTTGAAAACCTGACCTTTCAATTTACCAGTCCTCCAAATTTCTTTACTTTCCTTGAAGAGTAGTTAAGAGTGTATTTATTTTCACCTGTGCATGCCAAGGATTTCTGGCCCAGATGTTACTGGCCTACCAGGGAATCTGATCTAGAATACAAGCCTATAAATTATTGCTTCTTTTTATACCTTATTGTAATGTGTGTGGTTTAGTGAAAATATACATGTTTCTAATTTACTGTGGCTTCTATCTGCAGACTACCCATTATGAGCCTGTCAATTTACATATATTATTACAAAACCTTAGAATAGTTTTGTAAGGTCAGTGTTACCCCCTGTTTCATACAGGAGGAAATAGAGACTCAGAGAGGCATATAGTTGTCTAAAGTTACAGAGTTGGTAAGGGCAGAGCCTGATATTCACACCCAGATGTAACACACCTGAAAGCACATCTGTTTCACAAACTTGTAGCAGATTTCAGTTAGTGAGTTATAGAGAGAAAGGTAATAGATTTAAAAGGCAGATGGTTTTGATGGCTTTCAGAACGAATTCAGCTGCTACTATGTGATTTTCTGTTAGTTCCAGATTTCTTATTTGCAAAGTGGAGATTCTATTGCCCACCATGTAGCATTATGGTGAAGATTCAGTAGAAATACATATAAAGCCTTTCACACACTGTAGGTTTTCAACAAAATGACCCAAACTTCCACCCACCCCCAAGTCACCCTCTGATGAATGTAGGTGCCAGTGTTCACCAGTGCCCTATAAAATAGACCATGCATTTTAAAACATTTTAAAAATTAAATTTCTTAACTCATTTACTATACCCAAATGCTTATTACAATGTTCCCATTGTAGGCCTTTTGAGGGCAGACAGATTTCAATAGTGGCAGCAAATAATTTGTAGAAGGAATGTTTTCCTTTTCTTTAGAATTTTTTGTTTTAATCCAATCTGGAGAATAACAACATTTCTGAAAGTTCTCCTGCTGCCTGGGGCCCTGGGCTGGCATCCTCTCTTCGATTATTGATGTGGTAACCTGTTGGAAGAGACAGGAATGATTTAGAATGAGATGGCACCAAAACAAATGAATTAAACAATATTTCTCTGACCATGAGCATTTCAAACTGGCTAACCAGTGAGTTTGTAAACATTTTATTTGTAAAACAAGTACATTTCTTTGACATTTTCTCTTTTTTCTCTTTAAAATTGCTTTTAGGATGCAGAATAGAAAACTGTGATTCTTGCTTTAGCAAAGACTTTTGTACCAAATGCAAAGTAGGCTTTTATTTGCATAGAGGCCGTTGCTTTGATGAATGTCCAGATGGGTTTGCACCATTAGAAGAAACCATGGAATGTGTGGGTGAGTCGTTTTTAATGTAACTCTCAAACTGCGACTTTTAACAGCTTTTTCTTGAAAATAGGCATGCTGGATATATTTAAACTGAAAAATAAATTGGTTCTCTTGTTCATCAGAACTGAAAATTACGTTCTTTGCTGACTTTAAGTATCATGACAAATTGGACAGTCTCGTATCTTGGTATAAAATTTGCTAGTTGTGCATTTGCTAGATTAATCTACTTAAGTGTTGACTAAGTTTGTTTTTTAATCACCTGTGTAATACATCCATTTCTTAATAAATTATTAGTAACTGTTAGAGACAAACATTTTTTTTAGAAGAAAATTTTTCAGCAATACCACGTGAACCAACTACTTTATTGCTTGTGCTATGTGTAGAAATTACAGAGCTGCTTGCTTAGCTGTTTGTGTAAATGAGAAAAAAATGGAAAAGAAATTATTTGTGCCATATTTTGTTGATTATATGTTACAAATGCATTAAAACAATTTTACTAAATTTATATACCTAGAATGCATAATTTAATAAATATACTATTTGTGAAAATGGTAATACACCTTTTATAAATTTTATATCTTCTGAGTGTTAGTAAAATACATTGGCATTTTTATACCACTGATTGAAAGGTAAAGATCTGTCAGTGGCTACATTATGAGGAATCTCTTAATCTAATCATGGATATATTGACATGCCCCCCACCCCCAGAATTTCATTTGGTGTTATATACCTGATATGATATACAACACAGCTGTGTGTTATAGACTTTACATCTCTTAAAATGGAGACTTAGAAGAAAATTGACAATGTTTTTCTATAAAAATTTTGAAGTAGTCTGTAATTGTACATTTGAGAGCTTGCAGAGAAGACATTTAAATAAGTTTTTGAAGAAATAGGCACTTTCACGTTTCTACTTATATGGGAGTTAATACATTTATATAGGCACCACAATTAAGAAAGTCACTAGAATAACATACTCAGAATGTTGAATTTGCTTTTGAGAGGCAGGACACACACATTACAAATGTTCAGTGGAAATGCTGAAATCCTTAACTATAAACATATTATAGAGTTTGATGCATTCCTTGAATTAAAAAAATCTTAATTGACTTTGAAAAGTCTAAGAAGCAGCTATGATACCACTGAGGTCTAGAAGGTGGAAATATTAATTGTATGCGGACTCTGGGCCTAAACCCTCTTTCAGTAGTAAGAAGAGGAGTTTTAATGGTGAAGTGGATGAGGAGGTTTAGCTTTGTATACCTTTATCCTTTTAGTTTCTCCTCTCCCTCTCTGGGGAGTTGGAGGGTAGCCTTTTTTCCACTATGTGGACTTAACATAGGGGATGCTAAAAGCTTTTACGTATGTAGTAAAAACATATATTTTCAAATGACTGATCACATCTGTTTAGTTTTCAAACTGTAGTAATGTACAACACCAATATGGGGAATAAGAACCATGGTCTCCAGACACCTGTTGAAAGAACAGAAAAAATCAAAATGCAAAGCAAGCTCCCCCTATTTTTCACCAAGTTCTTCTAAAATAAAATACATTTGTGGATTTGGTGGAGGCACTTTCAGAATTAGCCTGTAAAATTTTGTCTTCTGTCGTGATAGGCAATAGTGTCTTCTACTTTAGGTTTCAGCTGCTGACTCTTTTAAAAGTTACACATTTCAGTGTCATTAGAACTATTCATAACAGCAAAAACATGGGATCAACCTAAATGTTCATCAGCGATAGACTGTATAAAGAAAATGTGGTACATATATACCATCAAATACCATGCAGCCATAAAAAAGAATGGGATCAAGTCCTTTGCAGGGACAAGGATAGAGTTGGAAGCCATTATGCTCAGAAAACTAATGCAGGAACAGAAAACAAAACACCTCATGGTTTCACTTATAAGTGGGAGCTGAATGATGTGAATGCATGAACACAAGTGGGGGAACAACACACACTAGGGCCTGTCAGGATGGAGGTGATGTGGGGAGGGAGAGCATCAGGAGGAATAGCTAATGGATGCTGGGCTTAATACCTAGGTATTAGGATGATCTGTAGAGCAGACCACCATGGCACACTATTACCTGTGTAACAAACCTGCACATCCTGCACATGTACCCCTGAACTTAAAAGCTGAAGGAAAAAATATAACTGACCAATAGTACCCTTTAAAAACTGAACTAAGACAAATGGAAAGTAACAGCTTATGAATTACTTAAGGGACATTGGATTTTTTGTTTTTGTTTTTCTTTCTTTTTTTTTTTTATTTTTGATAGAAATACCCTGTGGTTCAAAAAATTAAAGTTCCGAAAGGCGAGTAGAGGTCTTCAAGGGCTGTACCCTTTAATTTTTGGTATCTGAAGGCAGGGGGAAGGGGGAATGAAGGAACACTGCTATGTAAATTTGATGTCAGTGAAGCAAATGGATACTAACTTACATATTTGTGTTTTTTTCTTTTTCTAACAATCTTTACTAGAAGGATGTGAAGTTGGTCACTGGAGTGAATGGGGAACTTGTAGCCGAAATAATCGCACATGTGGATTTAAATGGGGTTTGGAAACCAGAACACGGCAAATTATTAAAAAGCCAGCAAAAGACACAATACCGTGTCCAACCATTGCTGAATCCAGGAGATGCAAGATGGCAATGAGGCATTGTCCAGGAGGTAGGTTTGGATATATAATCACTACTGTGCACTATGTGCTTTCTGAGTTCTCCCACTTTCTACCTACCCTCCCTTCCAAAAATAATTATTTATCTATGAAGGAAGTCTGATAATATTGGTGAGAGGATAAAGTTTTGTTGTACTTATTTAAAAACAAATGCTTCAGTTGTGAAAAATATTAAGTGCACATTTTATTGCTTTCATAATACCTTAAGCATAATTTAGGAGAGTACCTTAGCAATTAGCTTTCTAAAATAAGATTTCTAAATGTGTTTTAGTGGCTTTTTCTGCAAATGTACCATAAAAGCGGGTCCTTACGAAATCAGGCCTTTGCAGATGTTGCTCTGAGGGAAGCGGCCAACTTTCAGTTGAGAAGAGTTTAGATTAGAAAGGTTTATGGAGTCTGTAAAATCATCTGCGTCGTTACTAGTTGAAGATGACAACTTAAAATAAACTTGCCCAAACACTGGGAGGAATAAACATTGTCTTAATGTTACCACAATTAGCTGTTTCTCTGTGTTTTGATGATAATTTGTAGAAAACAGCTACTGGTATGTGTGTGTTTATTCACATCTTTGTAGTAATTGTGCTGATTTGCAGTAATTATTCTGTAATAACAGGATTAGGTCCATTTAGAAATTGGAAGAGTACATAGCTGAGGTGCTGGCCGGCGCGGAATCAGTAAGTTGAAATGCAGGTCTGAGCCCTGTCACTGTGCCCTCCCTAAAGCAGTAATCACTGGGTTACATTTATTTTATCACTAGTAGATGCTACATCACCATTTGCTCAAAATAGAAGAGTGAAAAAGAAAGTTGTGTTTGGAATACTGCTCTGTAAAATAACTATAACTTTTGTTTGCCTTCATTCTGTTTTTTGGTGCATAGCTTTTCAGCTTTATGACCATAGCCCAGAAACAGAATATATAACTGCTTAAACAGGTTTATGACTGTGTTATGCAGCCTCAGAGAGAGTGTCTATGATCCATGGAGAAGGACAAAACTTTTAAGATTCGAAGACTCCAGTCAGCCTTTGAGAACTATTAGATCCAGATTCAGAAGCTACTATTAGGAAAGGAGCTTTTCCTCTTGAATTAGTTTTGCTTTTTCTTACTGGATCTTTGAAACAAAGTTTTTGTGGGTTTGCTTTCCACTAACAAGGATGGTTTTGTTCACTTAAACTAGGTATTTTTTGGTCAAAATATAAGAAAATATTTTCTTAAAAACTAATAAGACTGCATTTAACCTGCAGTCTTCTCCCTAAAAACAAACCTGATGTATTCAGGTATTGAAAATAAAGACTTTCTTTGTTATGTATTGTTTATATAACTAGCCCCTCCCCCATTCCTCTTCCAGCAATGTGGTCCCCCAATTGTGGTTTACATTAATAGCAAAAATTAACTTGAAAATGCTCCTATAACAAACACGCTTATATGTAACAAGAGCCTTTCCTCCAAAACTCTTTATTTTGACTTAGCCTCGGTCTTGTTTGAGAATTTTCTAGATAATAGCTAGATTGTTAACCATAATATTTATTGCATTTGTATTTTTTATGTTATCAACAACAACATACTATCTTAATCAAATACAACTTGATAGTGTCAGCAGTTTAAATTATGCCAAAACAAATGCTTATGTATCATCTGCTAATCTCCTTTTGACAAGCTAACCAGTAACAGACTTGATTTAATTCTTACTGAAGTTTTACCAAGTTTTACTTATTAGGAAAGACTAGCTATAGCTCTAATTCTTGCATCTACATTTTCAGTTTAATCAAATCAATTTTATATAACCTTTAAATAGGTTTTCAAAGTTATATTAATTTTTTTTACTGTTTAATAAAAGGAAACTAAATGTTGAGAGAAATGGCAAATTATTCTGTAACAAAGCAACTTATATTTACAAATGTAGGAGATGAAAACTGGAAAACTTGCTTTGTAACTTGAGCACATATTGATAAAAATTGGCATAACTTCCTGGGGAGTATCCCACCTTGCCTTAGGTGAGAGAGGGAAAAGTTCCTTTTTTCAATAGGTCATGGTGACTAATGGAAGAATGGAGAAGAAAGCCACTTTATCCCTTTTTACATCTTGATTTGATTTCAGTGATCTGCTTTGACAAACCATGCAAAAATGTAAGTCGTAATCAGGTTGAGAATACAGGCTTTTTTAAGATCTTTGCAACATATGTATGGATTTTTCTCCTGTTGGAGCCAATCTTAACCTGATTGCACACAAACGCAGCCTTAAGCTCCTTCACACTAAAGCAGCAGCACGTTAGAATCAGCTGCTTTCGATTACTGAAAGGCATTAAGTTAGAGGTCAGTGTAATGGTATAGTCATCACTATGCATATAAGATATTACATTGAAAACTATTAAATATGAAAACAAATGGCTTTAAGAGTTTGAAAAAAACAGTGTAATGCTTAGCCTAGTTTTTCCTTAACTATCATATGCTTATTTGCTTTCTTTCTTTTTTTTTTTTTTTTTAAAGAATATCTGGAAATATCTTTAGTAGATTGATTTACACTTAAAGTACTCAGTGTTCATTCCCAAACTTTTCCTTTAAATCAGTTATCTTTTTCTTTCATTTTTGATAGCATAACCTATAAGGTTTCCTGGGCTTTTCCAACAATCATTCTTCAGGGTCCTGGTCTGTAGAGATATCTGGGTCCCTACATCCTGTCAACTCATTAATTCCATGATTCTTGACAAGTCACTTAACCTCTCTTGGCCTCCATTTCCTCATTTTTAAAATTGAGGGTTTGTAGGGTAGGTGATCTCTGAGATCCTGTTCTGTTCTAAAATCTGATGATTTTAGGATTAATTGCCAAAAGATGCAGGCAAGTTCCATGGCTGTCATATGAGGTGAGGAAGAGACTTTGGAAGGCCAGGAGCATAGTTTCACAATGAAGGATCTGAACACTTTCCCAGTAGCTGCCCCCTGCAGTTGCCGAGCCTTCCACATCCAGCAGCTTCCAGCTTCCTGCTTCAGGAAGGACTCTGTTTGGTCCTTCAAAGATTAAACAAGATTCTTTTAAAATGTGTGCATGACCTGTGACTTAGCTACCAATATAGCAGAAGTACATAGAATGACAAAAGGGAGCATAAAAGATCATGGAAAAAAGAGAAAGATGGAGAATGAATGAGAGAATAAAAATATTGTATAGTGAGTATAGGAAACAAGTGAAAAAAAGAGTGAATTACTTGAAAATAAAAGCTGTACTCATTGCAGATATAACTGTCTCCATTCCCTTTGCCCTCTCCCCAAGTGTACTAATTAATAAAATTAATCATATTGGGACTAATTTATGAATATATAACCTGAACCTTTAAGTGGAAAGAATTCCAAGTCTGGGCCATGTCATACATTAGGGAATCTTAATACAAAAGTATAAACATGTTTTTGTCATATGTTTAAATGATACATGGAAGAACAAATTTGTGGTTGCTAAGGTTTGATGTTGGAGGATGCTTATGTACAGGACAAAATATCATCTGTAGGTGGCTGTAGTCTTCTCTTCTTTCACAGGATGGACCAACATCATGATCTCAACCTGAAAATATTCTGTACTATCTGTATGGGACTCCTTTTTTTGTCAAGCTCCATCACAACTCATTTTGTTAATTTACTTCATCAGATATTTGTCGAGCACTGCTATGTGCCAATCATATGTCTAGGCATGGGATTGCTCAAAGAGTCCTTAGTTTTTTTTCTAGCAAGAATAGCTACAATAAAGAAGTGGATGAATGTGTTTAATCTCATGTGGAGACAAGTGCTGTGATAGGGAGGATAGGCAGCTAATGAATGGGTCAGTGTATACTATGTTATGTAGGGTGATCAGGAAAATTGAGGAAGTTACATTTGATGAGAGATCTAAATGAAGAAGATATTTTGAAGCTCTAAGGGAAATTGTTTTTGAGGAATCCTTGATTCTTCTGCCATATTTTAGGGAAGAGGAAAGAACTGAGCTCAATGGAGGCTCTGACTGGTCCAAGGTGATACATAACAAGTTATTGGTGGTAGAACCAAGAGAGTAGGACCATCATCTTGCTGCTTAGAAAACCTGTTTTCCTGCGCTTTTTCCTTGGTCTTTATGATAAAGACTTAAGATAAAGCCATGGTTGTCCAACATTAAAGTACCCAACTTTTAACTATTTCTCCCTCCAATGCAGAAATATCATTTTACTTTTGCTCTACAAATGCTTTTAAACAACATAGTACCCTGCTATCGCCACCCCTTCCAATTTGGAATCACTGGTGAAACATATCCCAAAGGGCACTGCATAAAGGCCAAAGTGTTGAGCCACTGGCTTTGCTTTGATTCAGCTTCCCCTGTGAAAGCCCTATTCTCCTTTAGAGTCATTGGTCCTTGGTTGGCAAGGGGAAAAATGTGGCTTCAAGATTGTGGTTGCCATCCTTAATCTTTCAAAGCCCACCCTCTAGAGGAGACTGCCTTGTGTGGAGCCAAACCCAACAGTCCTCTCTGACCATTCTCCTTGGCCTGCACAGAAGCCCTGGGTAACCTGATCCCATCCTCACATCAGATGGCTCTGTGCCCAGCATAGTTTTTCTTTCTGACACATTTCAACTGTCGGACTCAGAGTAATTAAGGTGATGGTTTGGCATATGCTGGGGTAGCTTTTTGAGTCTTTTGCTGATGGCTGCCTCAACTCACAGCAGTTCTTTAAGCTCCAGTAACATTTTGTTAGTACTGGGCTAAAATTTAAATATGAAATGTGCTACTGTATGCTATTTTAATTTTATATGCTTTTTTTTTTCTTCAAAAGTGGTTCTTGGTAAGAAATGAAAGAAAATACAAATTTGCCACTTAGAACCTTAATCTCTGGAAAAATCTACTTTTTAAAGGTAATAGTAAGACTTCTCTAATCTACGTTGTGTGTGTGTGTGTGTGTGTGTGTGTGTGTGTGTGTGTGGGTGTGGGTGTGGGTGTGTAACTGACAGGAACATGTGGACTAGGTATTAGATAATATAACCAAAGA